TTGAATTAGAAATGTACAGAGACGTATTTATAAATGTATAGAATGTAAAGTAATAGCAGTGTATACATAGAAATTATGCTTTATACATGGGAACAGTGACGAGGGTAGGGTATTGTCTTATTGTTTTATGTACCATGCATTTGGGAGGTAGACACCCAAATTGGCTTTTCTGTTATTCTACTCTAGTTATACTGGTATAATTGTAGTAGCTATTTGTTTTTACTAGGGACCAGGGTGTCTACCTCCCAAATGCATGGTACATAAAACAATAAGACAATACCCAAATTTAATAAGAAATCATCGTAGCCTCAATCATGCAGTGAGTGAGTTTAGTTTTACGCCGCTTTTAGCAATATTCCAGCCAGGTCACGGCGCGGAACACCAGAAATGGGCTTCACACATTGTACCCATGTGGGGAATCGAACCCGGGTCTTCGGCGTGACGAGCGAACACTTTAACCATCAGGCTACCCCACCGCCCCCTCAATCATACAGCGAAAGGATCTGTCAAATTACTTACTAATTGCAGTTCCGTGGCTTATGGATTGTTGCACATTCTGATTTAGAAATGTCCTCAACAAACAGTTGTCTCAAGTTTATGTTATATGATAGCTTTTCATCAAAATACAACACAATTACACGCTCCGTAATGACATCAGATTCGAGATTCAGCTTGCAACAAGTGAGATATAAACTTGATGAGTGAGTGAGTTTAGTTTTACGCCGCACTCAGCAATATTCCAGCTATATTGCGGCTGTCTGTAAATAATCGAGGATACTGTTGATAAATGTCTTTTACAAAGCAGTTTGTACCCACGGTGCCAAGTTGTTTCTATGAGCTGAGGTAATTATCCGTCACACCCTGACCATTGATACATATATACATTATTCACAGGCTCGACCTAACACTGTCACCACCATTGTTGATATGCAGGACATGTATTACAATCTATATCAAATAATTCAATTTCGGATTGAAGCTGATGGAGACCTGATGATGCAATACCTGAGAAAATTCTATTATCCGTGAAGCAAGCCTTAAAAAATGACAGAAAAACCTACTAATATATGTCATTAACTTTTCGTTGGTCTGGCTAGCTGCCGTTGTACAAAGCGATCTTAGCGTTAAGGTAATCGTAACCACAGGCCCTCCTGTCTTTGCGAGGATTAAAGTTTTTAAAAAATATATATACAAATTTGTGATGACATGCTTCACAGTACAATACATCATGACAAGGGCGGGGGTCATCTCAAAAACAACATTGTTTTAATCTTTCATCCTCGCAAAGACACGAGGGCCTGTGATCGTAACTCCCATATGTAACATAGGCTTATTTTCAAATGGATAAAACATAATATAAGTAATACAGTATATGAGTTACAGAGATATTGCACTTCATGGCCTGAAGACTGAGTTTAAAGATAGTGAAGAAATCAATTGTGCAATTTTATTAGCCAGGTTTATAGTATACAGGTGTAGGGTAACAGAAACAAGGTGTAGTTTTAGAATGTTTGAAAGTGAGTTGAAAATACAATATAAAATATTTTAACAAAAAAAACACAAAATTTAAAACACATGTCATTAACACAGGCTTTAGAAAAAATATTGGATGTTTGAAATACATGCGGATAATTCATGTACACATCTGCCCTGGTAAGCCCGCCAAGTGGCTTCAAACAGGAGTATGTAAAATCTTGAAAATATAAATGGTAATAAAGATGTAGGAAAACAAAATTAACAAAGACTTTCGCGGCGCAAAGGTTGCTTTGTATAACTGCCCCCTGGTGGCGGGAGCATGTGGTCAGATAGTTAGTTGGTCAGATGTCCAACGAGTACCCTGGTCCCACTCTTCACATTCATTATTGACATTCCAAATCTATGAATAAAGTGGAGGGAAGAAACTAACCTTTATCTTTGAACAAGTATATCTCGATGTTTGAACATGTATATCCTGTTGTCCAAAATGAAACAATCTGTCCATGAAATACTAGGTCACCATAGTCCATAAGTCCGATGTCAGTAAGGACGCCTTGGAAAAAGAATAGCCCTGCCACCAAAATGATTTTTGTCAAACTGTCCATGGTGCTTACAATCGAAATTTCCCTTTTGACGGACCCGAAGAGATACGGCCTTATATGCCAGGACTAGGTTATTTTTTTTTTACTAGTCACGTGATAATGCCAAGATCCGTCAGAGATTCCAACTTTCGGCGTGCTGTGCTATTTTCGGATCGGATCGGATCGGATTAGATATGCGACTTTTGTTATATCGCAAGGGGGCATGTTGAGAGACGTAAATGGAACTCGTTCTACATTTCCGCAAAACACGTGACTGTCTCGTTGTTTTATCCCGTTGATATTATACAAGACTCAATATCGGTTTTTATTGGCCTGAGGAAAACAATACCGACCGAGCTTTCATATAATAAATGGAAATACAACTGTTCAATATAACAACATAGCCTACCTACCGGAGACATTATTCATGTGGTGAGTTAATTGTCAATATATGCCATTGAAGATTTAAACAAATTTGATATGTTTGCATTATCGTTTTTTGTTATTCTTCGCTAGTTATACCGGTCTTATTATGGTACCTGTTGTCTCCACTGCCAATCAAGTTAAATATATTTAGTGTAATTTAATATAAAAAGGCGTTTCAGTCACACAACAAGTATCAGATTATTTACATTGCGGATCTGTAGCTTATGAATTGCTGTTGTGGGGTTCATTCAGGAGGGTGCCATATTTACAACGTGTTCACATAACATATTGCAACACCGTTCACGGCAGGTACAGCCTGATGGTCGTCATAAAACGCAAGGGTACCTTAATGGGTTTCTATAAGCCATTGACATCTTCAGTGCTTCAGATTGAAATAGGGACAAATATAACAAATTCTAATGGACTGAATCATATGGTGAATCTCATAATTTCGAATCCTCCAGTGGGTACGATAAGTAAAGCATTTTAATATCTGTGACAGCGCCTTTAAATACACTCGCCTTATTAGCGTAAATATATCATACGCCGATTTTAGAAACATTCCAGCACTTTCAGGCAGGAGACACCAGAAAGGGGCATCCCACATTATACCCACAAGGGGAATCGAACCCCGGTCTTCGGTGTGAAGAGTGAACACTTTAACCGCCAGGCTATCCGAATAAGGGCTTCTGCAGGTAAATCAATCATCAGAATACTCGAGGAGGTAAAATTAGCAAAGCCTAGCTAGCAATTTTGCATATCAAATCAGCATTGAGAAAATGAAAAATTATTGTATTAGTAATAAAAGATTGGCGACCACCAGTAAAACAGATATAATCTGTCATCCATACAATGTGGACTAGTACATTGTTTTGCTGTTTTTATTTTTACTTTTTTATTTTAAAGAATTAAACCTCTTTGATACAACTAAAAGAAGGAGGAAAAACATATTTGTTAAAGACATACGAGTATTCTAATGTAATTATTACCAGCTGTTCACCTTATATTTCCAATTATGCTAATTTTCTAAATAGGGTTTAACAATCACAAAAAGGGGAATTGTTTTATTGAATATGCAAATGAAAGTTTAAAATTTTCAGCTACATTAAATCCCAAAACGCATTCTCAAGAATGACTTATGAAAATATTGAATATTCGTGTAATCTTGCTGTCATACCCCTGGTGGAGTTCTAAATAAATTCGCTGAAAAAAATATGAATGACCAAAAAAAAAAGTCAGACTAAAATATCCCCAGAGATGTAAAATATAAGCCCAATGTTAAAGATTAAAGTTAATCAGTTACATACAAATATACTGAGGAAAATAATAAGGGATCACATGAAAGCACAAGTGTTCCTTGATTTGTTTCCAGCTGTGCGATACAACGCTTGTGAAGAAACCTGGAAGAAAAATAAAGGAACACTTGTGCTTTCATGTGATCCCTTATTTTTTTCCCTCAGTATATAATATTATTGTTTTGAAACTCGTAGCGATTTATAATTACATTTCCTAAAATTGTTGGAAGCGCACGTACAATCTCCATGACAAGATCGTCAGTTCTAAATACACTCAGTCCACAAATGCACGTGCGTGTATTTGAAACTCTCACCGTCAATCGCATGATTCTAATCAAAAACTTCATAATAGACAGAAAATCCTGTTAGCTACGTTCTTTGTACTTTCAATATGACGATATATATTTTTCATGATTTTTTAAACAATTACATTATGCCATAAACGATTTAAGTACTCTGAATTATTTTTATCAAAGCACATTCACGCGCGTTCTGATTGGTTTGTCGTATTTTCGCACATAACAAGCATCGTCACCACTCGCCCCTTTCCGTAACCTCCAAGAAGGTATCGCAATTCGGCTTGTCCCGGAATAACACGAGTTGGTCACGAATGCGATAGGGGGACGAGTCTGCTTGGAGGTTACGGAGTGGTGACCACCAGTCATGACAGACCACCAGTAAAACACACCTGGCTGTTCCTCCTTTGCACTCCTCCCTCGTAACAAATAGTGAACTTTGTCACTATTTTAATGATAGTTTGTTAAATAACTTTTTTATTTTTAGGATATAAATTCTGAAAAAGCCTCACAGGGTTGGTCTGGTGTTTTGATTATGATCAGCGTTTCGTTGAGTATTATATGTTTATTAGTTTTCGAGTTTGATTGCAATTCATCGGTCCGCTTTTGAGCCATACGGACTGTAGTAATAATTTTGCTTAATTGTCTGTCTATACGCCAAACTAACATTACAACTATCAGTATGATTATAATACAGCTCAGTATCATGAAATTTCTATCGTTTGAGCTGGGTGAATTAGATAGAAATTGATTTCTCTTTAGGGACAAACCAGATAAAAGGGAAGTAATGCATGGTCTAGAGGGCGCTGTCAGATATGTCTATAAATGTGACGTCATAGCGCGGTAAGTTCATTCTCGGCTGCGACACCAGTACTGAACATATTGATTTGTCACATTTTGTTCCACGGGTATTCTGTTTTCTGACCATGTCTGAACAGCCGGATATTAATGAAAAGTTGGATAGTATTTTAAAGAAGATTGAGGCTTCTAAAGCAGATATTTTCCGATCTGTTGACGCAAAGTTTGCTGGTCTGAATGAAAACTACGCTCGCACGTGTCAAGAACTTTCTAAGTTGAAGTCTGAAAAGGATTTTGTGTGGAAGCACGAGGGACACAGAATTCAGTATTCTTTTAACTCAGACACAATCGACGGTTTAAAGCAGATGAAATTTGCTTTACAATACGGAAAAGCCGATTATCTAAGTGAGCTTTTGGAGTCTGAGATCAACAGAGTTGAGAAGAGAAACAAACTCATCAGGATTGCTGATACGTCCGAGGGAGGCTGGGAAACAGTACGTGAATATGAAGCTAACGTTCTTGCTGACAACTCTGACGATGAGAGGAGGATTTCACGCGCGGACACCAGGGCCGTTAAGAAGCTCGAGAAAAAAGAAATCGAAAACTTTCCGATTCGCACCTTATTCCAGGCCATCAGCGACTGTCACCCAGTCTACCCTGTGTTCTGGCGTTAGCAGTCTGTCTTCTCCTTCCCAGCAGCCCTTTCGTGCTCAGCGACGAGGCACGTGCTTCGCATGCGGAGACCCAACACACTGGAGGAGAGACTGCCCGTCTGTCACCGGGAGACCTCAGCGAGACAGCAGGGTCGTTGAAGACAGAAAGCTCAACGCCTAAACACGGTAATTGTGAACACTTCTTATTAACTGATGACTTTTACGAATATGAGCAAGGTTGTGCTGAGATTAGAGTAAGAGGTCGTCTTAGAATGTCCTGTGAATTTTGGCGCGAAATCGGTGCTACTGACTTTGTTTTGGATGTGATTGAAACGGGATATAAGATTCCATTTTACTCTACGCCCCCCAGCTATGGAACTGAGAAATAACAAATCTGCCATTGCTCATTCCAATTTTGTTTGTGACGCTATCACGGATTTGCTACGTAAAGATCTTATAGTTGAATGTATTGAACCTCCATGTGTGGTGAATCCTTTATCTGTTTCCATTCAAGCCTCCGGAAAGAAAAGACTAATTTTGGATTTGTCAGTTGTCAATAAGCATGTGTATAAACTGTCAGTAAAGTATGAAGATTGGAAAACTGCTTTAATGTACATTAATGACAATGATTGGATTGTAAAATTTGACATACATTCTGCATACCATCATTTGGAGATATTTCATGAGCACACGGACTACCTTGGATTTTCCTGGGAGTGGCCATGTGGTAGAAAGTATTATAAATTTTTAGTTTTGCCTTTTGGACTGACTTCTGCCCCTTACATATTTACCAAAGTTACTCGACAGTTGGTCAAGATGTGGAGGCGTGAAGGTATCCGCATTGTCACATTTTTGGATGACGGTATCATGTCTGAAAGTTCACAATCGAAGTGTGATGTGGTAGCTAATAAGGTTAAGAGTGATTTAATTAGATCAGGCTTTGTTCCGAAAGCAGAAAAATCCTTATGGTCTCCATCACAGCAATTAGAGTGGCTAGGTTTTTGCGTTGATACTTCTCTGTTCACACTGTCTGTGCCTGACCGGAAGATACAAAAGGTGAAGGACACTATCAGTAGTTTGTTATTTTGTTCAGGTGTCCGGGTTCCAGTCAGAAAATTAGCTTCAATTGTGGGTCAGATTGTAGCAATGAAACAAGTTATTGGCAGTGTATGCCAGTTGATGACTAGAGCCATCTCTTTGGATATTTTGAATGCACAGTCTTGGGGTGACAAGATATATTTATCACAGCAGAGCATCCAACAGCTTCGGTTTTGGGTTTCTAATATTAGCAACTACAACATGAGGTCGTTGTGTTCAGATAGTTCCCCTAGTCGGATCGTGTACAGTGATGCCAGTAGCACGGGGTACGGGGGTTACTGTGTTCAGTTTGGAGGTAGAGAGTCTCATGGAGTGTGGTCAGAGGAGGAGATGAAGATGAGTTCGACGTGGAGAGAGTTGAAGGCTGTAGCTATGGTTCTCGAGAGTTTTCTGACTTTTCTAAGTTCTCACTCGGTGAAATGGTTTACAGATAACCAGAATGTAGTCACGGTTGTCCAGAAGGGAAGTATGAAACCGTATTTGCAAGTAGTAGCCATGGATATCTTCAAGCTTTGTTTGCATCATAGCGTGCAGTTGGAGGTGGAATGGATTCCTCGTGAAGAGAATGAAAAGTCTGATTTTCTCAGTAAGATAATTGATACGGATGACTGGGGTGTATCTGAAGAGTTGTATGAATGGATTGATGCCAAATGGGGTATCCATACAGTTGATCGGTTCGCTTCTTACTATAATAAGAAAGTCGGACGTTTTGATTCTCGTTACTGGAATCCAGGGTGTGAGTCTGTCGATACTTTTACTGTCGATTGGAGCGGTGAGATGAACTGGATTGTTCCCCCTGTCTACCTTATAGCCAGGGTATTGAAGCATATGTGTAGGTGTAAGGCTAAGGGAACATTGGTTGTTCCTAGGTGGTACTCGGCTAGCTTTTGGCCATTACTTTGTCCGAATGATGTGTTCATATCGGAGGTGAAAGATGTCTTACATCTTCCTGTGGTCAAAGAGGCATATGTGCCTAGTCGTTGTGGTGGTGGATTGTTTGGTGTTGTAGATCTGCGGTTTCCCATGTTAGCATTGTATGTTGATTACAGTGAATGATTTAATCCATATATTATTCCTTGTGTTTCAGGTATTATCAATTGTGTGTACCATGATGCTATCAGTAAGCTGCCTGCGAGTCTTAAGAGTGAGGTGTCGTCTTTAGCAGATCTATTAGATGATGCAAGGGCAGCATCCACTTCTAGAGCGTACGCTTCTGGTTTTCAGCGTTTTAAGGTTTGGGCTCAGTCGCATGGGTTGTCTGTTGTTATCCCTATCGCTCCTTTGTATTGTGCATTGTATTTGCTGTCTCTTATACAAAACAGTTCAAGCATTTCTCCTATAGTGACCGCATTTTACAGTATACGATATGCTCACGTTATTGTCGGTATACCTAGCCCCACCGACAACACCCTTGTGAAAAATGTTTTAGAAGCAGGCAGGCGAAGACTTTCCAAGTCAGTTGTCAAGAAAGTTCCTGTGACAAGTGAACATGTAAGAGCTTTGTTCCAAGCATTCAGTTGCAAAACATGTTTAAAGGACAGTAGAATTGTTACTATGGTTGCTATTGCATATTGTGGCTTTTTTGCGATCAGAAGAGTTGCTGCATATACGTAGATCAGACATTGTATTTCATGAGCACCACATGTCCATTTTTTGTGGAGAAGTCCAAGACAGATGTTTACCGTGACGGTGCATGGGTTGTCATAGCATCTACAGGTTCTGAATTTTGTCCAGTGGTACAGTTGAAAAGTTATCTGAAATTAGCAGATATTTCCGATAACTCAGATGAGTATATATTTAGATCAATTTCGGTGTGTAGTGACCGATATAGATTGAGGCAAGTTGATAAGCCACTATCTTACACAAGATTGCGAGAGTTATTTTTGGAGGCACTTACTCCTCTGGTCCCAGATATCTCCAAGTATGGACTGCATAGTTTAAGGGCAGGGGGTGCTACCGCAGCAGCCAACAGTGGCATAGCTGACAGACTGTTTAAGCGACATGGTCGCTGGAAAGTGAAAAGGCCAAGGATGGCTATGTAAAGGATGACTTGCTTGCGAGATTGAGTGTGTCGAAGTCTCTTGGTTTGTAATTGTGACTGCTTGAAATAAAATAATTTCAATCTTCCCCTTTCTTTTTGTCTCGGCAAGTGTCGCAGGGGACTTACACTGATGTTTGTTCTTTTATCTGGTTTGTGTTGGTGGTAGAAGGAGAAATGAAATTTCTATCGTTTGAGCTGGGTGAATTAGATAGAAATTGATTTCTCTTTAGGGACAAACCAGATAAAAGGGGAGGTAATGCATGGTCTAGAGGGCGCTGTCAGATATGTCTATAAATGTGACGTCATAGCGCGGTAAGTTCATTCTCGGCTGCGACACCAGTACTGAACATATTGATTTGTGACACTTAAGGTGCTGCAAGAAGAGATGATAATGAGAAACACTGCTGCAGTGTTGTCATACCTACCTTGTAGGTGGAGATGATGTTACAGTAGCATCTGATGTCTACAGTGATAATATGCGTACTTTTTTCTTCTAGGGTGCAAACGTAGAAACTGCCTTGCAGGAAGGTCAATCTGCTTGAAGGGTTGTTTGCGTGGAACAAGACGGTGAGGCGTAAATCATCACTGTGATGTGATGTACCGCGTACAGTTTTAATAAACGCCTCGGCAAGTGTCGCAGGGGACTTACACTGATGTTTGTTCTTTTATCTGGTTTGTGGTGGTGGTAGAAGGAGAATTAAGCAATATTCCTGCGATTTCACGGCGAGGGGACACCAGAAATGGGCTTCACACATTGTAACCATGTGGGGAATCGAACCCGGGTCTTCGCCGTGACGAGCGAACGCTTTAACCATCAGTTTACCCCACCGTCCACTCAATTATACATCAAAGGATCTGTCAAATTACTTACATTGCAGTTCCGTGGCTTATGGATTGTTGCACATTCTGATTTAGAAATATGTCCTTAACAAACAGATGTCTCAAGTTTATGTTATATGATCGCATTTCTTAAAAATACAACACAACTACATGCTCCGTAATGACATCCGCTTCGAGATTCAGCTTGCAACAAGTGAGATATAAAGTGAGTGCTTGAAGAGTGAGTGAGTATAGTTTTACGCCGCACTCAGCAATATTCCAGCTATATGGTGGTGGTCTGTAAAACATCGAGTCTGGACCAGACAATCCAGTGATCAACAGCATGAGCATCGACCTCCGCAATTGGGAACCGATGACATGTGTCAACCAAGCCAGCGAGCCTGACCACCCGACCCCGTTAGTCGCATAAACTTGAAGAGCTTCCAGCAGTTTACACCAGCTCTGGAACTAAGCATAGGAGGATACTGTTGATAAATGTCTTTTACAAAGCAGTTTGTACCCAAGGTGCCAAGTTGTTTCTATGAGCTGAGGTAATTATCCGTCACAGCCTGACCATTGATACATATATACATTATTCACAGGCTCGACCTAACACTGTCACCAGCATTGTTGATACGTAAGACATTTATTACAATCTATATCAAATAATTCAATTTCGGATTGAAGCTGACGTTCATAAGCTGATGGAGACCTGATGATGCCATACCTAAGAAAATTCTATGATCTGTGAAGCTAGCCGTAAATAAATGACAGACAAAAATACTATTATATGTCATTAACTTTTCTTTGGTTTGGCTGCCGTTGTACAAAGCGATCTTAGCGTTAAGGTGGTCGTAACCACAGGCCCTCGTGTTTTTGCGAGGATTTAAGTTTAAAAGAAATATATTTACAAATTTGAGATGACCCCTTGAGGACGCCATGGAAAAAGAGTAGCCCTGCCACCAAAATGATTTTTGTCAAACTCTCCATGGTGCTTGGTGTCGAAATTTCCCTTTTGACGGACCCAAAGTGATACGGTGTTATATGTCATCACTAGGTTCTATACTAGTCACGTGATAATGAATACTTCTCGTAAACGCGTTCTCTGCGCCGGTCCAACTAATGCTAGTTTTTAGTAGTTGACACAAGTCATCGTATCCCATTTGCGTAGATCGATGCTCATGCTGTTGATCACTGGATTGTCAGGCTCAGACTTGATTATTTACAAGACCGCTGCCATAAAGTTGGAATACTGCTGAGTGCGGCGTTAAACAACAACCAATCCAAATCACGTCGGGATGGAAATTTAGGGTGGGTGTGAGACGGGAAAAACACTGAGAAACAGCCTTAGATGAAAGCCACACAATTACTCACCCTTGGCGACATGCGAGTCCTCCGGGTGGTCAGGCTCACTGGCTTGGTTGACACATGTCATCGGTTCCCAATTGCGCAGATCGATGCTCATGCTGTTTATCACTGGATTGTCTGGTCCAGACTGAATTATTTACAGACTGCGGCAATATAGCTGGAATATTGCTGAGTGCGGCGTAAAACTGAACTCACTAACTCTTCCGCAAAGATACCCCTATTCGTAGACATCACAGTAAACATGTTATGTGCGACAATGGAAACCTAGGCCTATTGGTTCCCGTCCATAACCTTTATGACACGAAGAGTGAGTAAGTTTGGTTTTACGCCACTCGTAGCAATATTCCAGCAATATCACGGCGAGGGACACCAGAAATGGGCTTCACACATTGTACCCATGTGGGGAATCGAACCCGGGTCTTCGGCGTGACGAGCGAATTAACCACTAGGCTACCCCAAAGCCCTACAGATGATGAAGTGAGTAGGGCCAAGCCTAAGTTATTGTTACTTACAGATAAAACAGTAATGATATCAATACGGTTGCCGATGATATATCCAACATGTTTATTCATTCAGCTCAAAACATATTCGACCTTCACCCTATGAAATCATCCATCCAAGGCAAAAAGCGTGCAAATCGCCCCTGGTTCGAAAAGCAATGTAAGATATATCTAGCACGTGAAAAGTACTTGCAAGCAGTTTAGGAAACAGAAGTCAATTCAAAACAGACATCATCTTATTAATTTGGGCTCCATGCCTCAAGACAAGGAGACCTATTGTAATTGTTCGGATTATTATTATTATTTATCATTCCGCCGTTTTTGCACCAACCATAGCACCTAAACCAGTGCACAGAATCGCTTCTAACACAATTACCAAGGTGCCCACAGTGCTGAAGTTGTTACCGCAAAAATCTCAAGGTTCAAGGCCCAATAGCAAAGGGCAGATAATTCAAAATTAATTCCAAAAGTTCATAGTTTAACAGGAAATATCTCCAGAATTAATGGTTCCAAAATTTCCAAATGTCTTGAACAGATGCGCAACCAAATTCCCAACACGGACGGGTCAAGTCGCTAAAATGCATCGTTTGACAGCTATGGCTTTTTTAAGTTTCTAGTCACATATTTTAACAGTTTTCTGAGTAGTTTGTTCCCAAACTGTTCTGAGCTCGAACGATGAGACCAGAGCTTCCAAACTTTCCATAACTAATATCCAGTAAACATTGTAGAATCACGTATGCAGTTTATGACTGGGGTTCTGGAGATTCCAGAACAGTACCTGTTTTGACTGTAGACCTAAGAACAACGGGGGCACGGTCTTTTAAAGAGGGAATCATTTCTTCTCCGGAACTATTTCTAAGGTACGGGACCCAAGCAACATTGGCTGTATTTCAGAGATCCGCTCGCATGTCAAAAACGTGTACGTGTAACTGGTTGTGTTTTTTCGATTTCCAGACCTCAAACATACTTTAAACACCAGTAACTCTGCAACCATCCATCCGATTTGGACCAAAATTTGCCCCTGCTTGTATGCTAGCAGTGTCCATTGCTCAATCCAATTACAAGAACATAACCCTTAAAACAACTGAGGGACAAGTAGAATTATATTCTGCTGACTGTAGTTCGTTTCTTGTACACATCACTCTGAACGTTTGAAATATACATGTACGTAGTTTGTTGATATATTTTTGGGGTAGCTCTGTGGTGCATGTTAAAGGCATCACCGTTTGGTTAGTTTTCTTTACTTATAAGCACTAGAATCTCTGAACAGTCGTAATTCCAATTATGCAACTGGATTCTCTGGTTCATTCATCGCTTGGTTGTCTGATTTGTTTTCAAGCCAACGTCTAATGGGAAGAAAACAATTGTGCGGCTTCAGACAACAAATATTTCCAGTTTTAACCACATTTTATGAATGGCCTGTGCCACGGTAGGACAGGACACGTTCAACACTAATTTTCAGTGATCCATTTCACATTATTTTCACATCTATTTCCCCTTTACACCAAATGGTGTCAAGATAGTCAAGATTGGGTATTTTTAGCACTGATGTTCCATGTTTGACATAATGTTTAAGAAGCAGCCTTAAAATACCTGAAATGTTCCCATAGCTGCATATCAATGGACGAGGGTCTGGTGTAAAATAAAAGAATGTCCTTGGTAATTTGTGTATATATTCTTGAAATAAGTCACTGGAAACGTTTGTTATGTTGTTTAAGATAGTCTTACGTTTGAATTCTTATAATGTGAACCTTGCATCTTTTTCAGCTAGATAAGTCATGGAAATTTCTGTTTTTCTGACTGTTTGAGCAAAGGTTTCCTCTATTTTGAGAGTCATTATCCCAAATAATATTCTTAAATCCAAGAAAATATCCTTTGTAATGAATTGATCAAAACTTCCAATACTTCCAGGTCGATGATAATTCAATTTTAAAGTTATTGAAGGAACATGTCCTATTACTTGAAGTGACATGATCCATACAAGATAACCATTTACTATTTTTTAAGAAATAGGTGACAGATGGTATCTTGCTCTGAAACTGTATCATGTGATCTCAGTCACTGGATTGCCTAGTCAGAATTTTATAGTCGACTGCTGAAGAGGTTTTTCCGCTTCGATTCACAGAATTCCTGTATTTCCCAAACCAGTAATTTGACAATGAAGAAGTTCTAAATGGCTAATTGAGTTCTGAGGGGGTTTCGCCCAAAAGGATCATGGAGCACTATATCGCTGCTCGTAGTCGTAGCTATATTTGCAGTCGTAGTTACAAGAAAACTATTAGAAAGTATACTTTGAAAAACACAAGTTTGCTTGCAAAATCAATTTGATCCAATATCAGTAAACGACACTCGTTCACATTGGAAGATACAACGGGAAAACGATAATTAAAAAAATGAGTGAATGAGTGAGTTAAGTTTTACGCCACACTCAGCAATATTCCAGCTATATGGCGGCGGTCTGTAAATAATCGAGTCTGGACCAGACAATCCAGTGATCAACAGCATGAGCATCGATCTGCGCAATTAGCAATTTTCAAGATTTACTCCCACTTTGCCAGTAGTTGATCCGACCACAGTTAACGAATATCGGATTATAATTAACACCCTAATTAGCAAGGTCATGCCTGGCTGGTTATTGCCAGTTTCTGAGCGTGTTGAACCATGAACAGTGTTCACCACCTGCAAAACAATTTTTGTCAATAAGTGTTCATAATTTGCAGCTTCAATTATCAATTTCTTATGCTGTCTCCCACTTAGTGGGATTGTAAATATTTGTATTGTGTTTGTATTTGATTAACCTTACATTACATGATTATAAGTTATATATGGAGCATTTATTTATCTGTAACTTATAACACTAATCATCTGCTTAAAATGATAGAAATGTTAAAGAAACATTACGTGACTATAAGTTAAATATGTATAATTTCTTTATTTTTGTACATCTGTAACTTTATTTATAACATGAATCGTATATATTTTTGTAAATTTTGTAAAATGAAATAAATTGGCAAAGTCTTGAACCCCACTAATTCCCTAATCGTAGTGTGTTGCAGTTGACACGGTGGAAATAGGCATCATAACCTGAGAAACCATTGTTCTGTTACACCCACTTGGGCACATATATCGCTGGTGTTTAAATGTCTGGACATCCGTTCTGGAAACTTCGGGAGTTGATTTGGGATGTATGTCCCTGTCTTGATATGTCTGGACATAATGGGTGGCCCCTTTACTGTGCAGGGGTTCCGTTTCGTGGCCTCTGCATAAACCCTATGATCGTGTGTTCGAATCTCGTTTTGCCCCCATTGTGTTTCTAGGTTTGTCAGCACCAAAGAATTTCTCGTTGGTTTCACCAAAGTGGTAAACATCTATTGGTGAGGCAGCGTAAAACCAGACTTACTTCATTACTCCAGACACGTCTCAATCTTACCGTGTTGCTAAATTTATAATATTTACTGAGTCAAAAAAGAAACTTCACAAAATGTAATTTGAAAAATAATAAATAATTTTTCTCTGATACATCTATGTATCCGAAATGGGATCCCTATCTTTCGACTCTAGAAAAACGTTAGCAAAACCCACTCAAACCCATCCATTCGTCGTGCAAATGACGTAAGTGCCAAATCAGGTTTTGCGCGTGCAGTCGATCACGTGATCTTCGCATCGAAGTTTTCCTAATTGAAAAACCACTTTTAAACCACAGTTCTAACGGTACTTGAAATGCCACGATTGTCAAATGTGCAACGTAAACGTACCGTTGGCATGTTGCAAGCGGGAAGATCAGTTATTGACGTCGCAAGAGCAATGGGATGCAGCCGTCGTACTGTGTATGACTTGCGAGGTCGTCTACAACAAACTGGCACCACTTCTGATCGCCCAAGGTCGGGTCGTCCACGTGTGACGTCACGAGCAGAAGACCGTCAAATCGTCCTACGTCACCTACGTGACAGATTTCTGCCGGCTACACGAACCAGGGCTGAGATGTTTAGAGGTCGACTGTCCTCACAGACCATTCGAAATCGGTTGCGGGCTGCCAATCTCCATTCTCGACGTTCATATCGAGGGCCAATATTGACGCCGTTTCATCAACGTCAGCGTCTGCTGTGGGCCCAACGTCATCTCCGATGGACCCAGAGAGACGGGAATCGAGTCGTCTTTAGCGATGAATCCAGGTTTACCCTCAGATTCGCGGACGGCATGCATAGAGTCTGGAGACGACGTCGTGAACGGTATGCCCAATGTTGTGTACAGGAAGTCGACAGATTCGGAGGCGGAAGTTGCATGGTGTGCGGTGTTTTCTGTGGGAACAACCGTTCCCGACTTCTGGTCATCCGTGGAAACCTCACAGCTGCTGCTTACCCCGACCAGGTGCTCACCCCTGAACTCGTTCCTTTCATGGCGGCTCATGGCCCAGGTCTACAGTTCCAGCATGATAATGCTCGGCCGCATACCGCGATGTTGATGCGAAATTTCCTTCAAAACGCTGGAATCAACGTCATGGACTGGCCATCGAGGTTCCCTGACCTTAATCCAATAGAGCACTTTTGGGATGCACTTGGGAGAAGGCTTCGTGGTCTTAGGAACCAACCTCAGAATTTGCAGGAACTTGGCGCTGCCTTGCAAGAGCGATGGCGCAGAATCCCCAACCACGTGTTCACAAGCATCAGGCAGTCGACGAGGAGACGGTGTTTGGCAGCGGTGAATGCGCGGGGCGGCCATACACGATATTGAACTGAGAAATTTCGCATTTTTATTCTTGTGACTTGACATTCTGTATACCCATGTTTTGGAACGGCGGTGTAGCCTAATGGAACTGATTATGGCACTGTCAGTGTATCGAGTACATCACACAGATCTCAGCAATGAAATAATAACAATTTAACCATCTCTGGTTCTTTTATAGTGGCCTGAAGAAAGAATGTGAAGTTTCTTTTTTGACTCAGTATACAAGACAAAAATGAAAACATCAGCTCTGTGTATCACCAAACATGGAACATTTTATTTGACTTACTGAGAAGCAGTGGTTGTTGGTGCTAACGTAGTTCCTGGTGCTGTAGTGGTTGTTGGTAGCTAACGTAGTTTATGGTCTTGTAGTGAATATTGGTGCTGACGTAGTTCCTGGTGCTGTAGTGGATGTTGGTGCTAACGTAGTTTATGGTCTTGTAGTGAATATTGGTGCTGACGTAGTTCCTGGTGCTGTAGTGGTTGCTGGTAGCTAACGTAGTTTATGGTCTTGTAGTGAATATTGGTGCTGACGTAGTTCCTGGTGCTGTAGTGGTTGTTGCACCTGCAAAGTGGAGAAACACGCATTTTCAGGTGTGAGAAAACAAAGTGCTTCGTTAGGACAATTCCGGAGATAAACCGAACATACGTATATGAATAAGAACTGAAAATACTCTGCTCTATCCGAACTCGGAGTAATAATGCACATTGCGGCAAAAATCATCAGCTATATATCTTATGCCCGATAGTTAACACGGCATGTCGGAAAGCTCCAGTAAACATCGTTACAACGAACGGATGGATATTAACGAACAGTGAATTTTAGTCGAAATGCGTCAAAAGAACTACGCTGAAACAAACAGAAATTAGTGGCCTCTTCGAGTAGTTTACCGTAGGTTACTGTACATTATGTACTACAATGATGTAAATTACCAATTGAATGTTCATCTGTGAACTACTCATAAGACAAAGTGGACAAACGCTCTTAGACATGGCACGTCTGGGAATATGGAGAAGGCTCATAACAACGTGTTACGTTATACCGGACAGCAAAAACAAACACGTTTCAAGACATATCACACGATATAGGCATGTCTTCGTTCCGCATTCTCAACCCGACGGCCCTCATAAAACCATGTTAAAGAATTGGTTGAGACTATTGTAGCGCCAAAGTTGCTGCCTGAAAACGGCCCAGGGCACTTGGACTCTAGAGTGAGTGAGTTTAGGTTTACACGGCCTTTAGCAACATTCAAGCAATATCACGGCGTCTCACATTGTACCCATGTGGGGAATCGAACACGGGACTTCAGCGTGACGAGCGAACGCTTTAACCACTAGACTACACCACCGCCCCTGGACTCCAGAGTAAACATTCATAGTTTTTCACGACACATCAGACCGTTAAACGCATCATTAAATGACGAAATGAAACAGACTTACAGTCAGCCTGACAGCAATAGCCAGGTGTTACACACTCTGTTCCATTCCTACAGTCATTGTTGGTGGTACACCTGACCGGCTGACCCTTCCTACTTCCGGTCAGGTAAACAGCGGGATCGCCAACGGCGCACACATCCGGGGCTTGGGCTGAAATAATACAAACCTGCAGTTGGTCACCAGCCCGCACAAAACGCTTCACATTGGGTTGATTATTATGTGGACAGTCACAGTGATTTCACTACATAGTCGACATTTTATATGAACATTCTCTCTGAGAATTACATTTTGGCGAAGCGAGTCGTGGGCAGCAAAAGGACTGTATTTTGTTTTACGGAGTGGTTTGGGGCTCCTTGCACAGTTTATCATATGCACGGTTACCCACTCTACACGGAATTCGGACAGCGAATGGGATTTCTCCCAGGAAGCGCTGCCTTGTCGAACCCATCAAGGTTAGGTTTGGTTGTTGTTTTACGCCGCAAATATTCCAGCTATATGGCGGCGGTCTGTAAATAATCGAGTCTGGACTAGACAATCAAAAAAGAATGAGCATCAATCTACACAATCGATACGGATGACATGTGTCAACCAAATCAGAGAGCCTGACAGCCCGATAGTCGCCTCTTACGACAAGCATGGGTTGCTGAAGACCAGTTCTTACCCGGATCTTCACAGGTTGCACCATCAAGAATGATAACGAAAGCATCCATCGAGTGATCGAGTGCTACAACCAACTGCTGGAACTTAACTGCAGGCTGGAGCAGGCTGCAGTACTGTGGTGGATTATCTGTGAGCTAACATGTGGAGTTCCTCGATTGTGACAGGTGTGATGTTTTGGTAGTTGTTGAATGGACCAATTAAGAAATGTTCGAGTTGTACTAGACTCACGCTTAGTCCCTGAATATATAATTTTGATTGTAACAAACAAACCCATTTAAATTGAAAAGGAGCCCCAGGAAAACCAGAGATTCAAACCTGAGGAAATCTAGACTTGCTTCGTGTAGGGCTTTAGCACTGCAGAGATGGCTTAGCAGTAGAGAAAATAATGTGGTTCAGGGACTGTCAGGGACGACTCGCCTGTAAGTACCAGATTAATATTGCCGACGTTACATAAATGGTCATCGCTCTATACCACTGGGATATGAGGACACACATCAAATAATCAAAGAACACTAACCACACACCTACATTCAGACAGACAGATAAACTGACAGATAAACAGACAGACAGATAGACATACAGACTGACCTATGTGGCACTTGTCAAGACACCTAACATCTGTACTCTCCAAGGGGTCTCCACTAACTCGGCATGTCAGCCATCGGGTGCATCGGACGTTCTGAAACATCACTTGCAATGAATACCCTATAGGATGTGTTAAAGCAAGCATTTCTTATGGATGTGGAAAGTGTTTTATGGCTTCATTTCACCACTGAAACGTTGAAAGTGAGTGAGTGAGTTGGGTTTTACGCCGCTTTTAGCAATATTCAAGCAACATCACGGCCGGGGACACCAGAAATGGGCTTCACACATTGGACCCATGTGGGCAATCGAACCCGGGCCTTCGGCGTGACGAGCGAACGCTTTAACCACAAGGCTACCCCACCGCCCCAAACGTTGAAAGCTACTCATTTCGAAACTTATTGTGTCAAATCTAAGCGCAGTAAACGAACTCAAATGGACCACTAATCTTAGCGGATGTCAACAATGAGGCGGATGTAAGTCTGAGGATATGAATTAATTGTCATCAACCTATGCCCACAGCACCTACCCCCGTGTCTTTGCAAGGATTAAATATTTTTTTTAAATATATAAAAATTTGAGATGACCCCCGACTCGAAATGTTTCACAGTTCAATACCTACTGACAAGGCCGGACACTTCGGTGCACCCCGACCCGCCAGCTTTGCCGATTGTAAGCAATGTTAATTGTTACCCCAAAACAATTGATACTGATGTTTTTATCTTTCCGTGATACATGAAGTTCATCCTCATGAGTCAACTGTGGATTTAAACAGAATGGCATGTCTGATTACCTGCAAAATGGCTTTGTTTGTTAGTTGTTTAATGCCGCACTCTGCAATATTCCAGCTATGTGGCGGAGGGCTGTAAATAATCGAGTCTGGACCAGACACTCCAGTGATCAACAGCATGTGCATCGACTACGCAATTAGAATAGGATTGGGAATTTGATGAATAGAAAATGAGAGTTCTACACCAGCTATCGATGGAGCCGAGCTAATTATAGAAACACGTCATTACAAGGTGTGGTGCCATACACGGGCTATGTATAGTACAGGGAATCCCTTTTGCTAAATATAGCGAGAGAGGCGCCAGCTACGAATGTGACCGTGATTGTTTTATCCTGTCTGAGGTTGGCAGTTAAAACGCTTAGACTAAAGACAATGACAAGCTATGAATGGGATAGCTCTTTATAAATCTTCATAGGTAATGGTTTGATGTTCTAACAAGACAAGCAGGACTATATTATAGGAAAAAGAATGTTATTGTAAACCCGATTGAGAGAGAAACTGGACCACAGGGGCATGTCACGCTTAGAAACAGCGGTAGAAAGACATATAGGTATATAGACCTATGTAGTACTAGGGTAGGGTCTATATACCTATATCTTGTAATGTGTGTAGTATGTGTGTAGCATACTTTCTTGTAATGTGTGTAGTATGTGTGTAGCATACATTCTTGTAATAGGTGTAGTATGAGTGTAGCATACATTCTTGTAATAGGTGTAGTATGTGTGTAGCATACATTCTTGTAATGTGTGTAGCATACATTCTTGTAATGTGTGTAGTACGTGTGTAGCATACATTCTTGTAATAGGTGTAGCATGTGCGTAGCATACATTCTTGTAATGTGTGTAGTATGTCTGTAGCATACATTCTTGTTATAGGTGTAGTATGTGTGTAGCATACATTCTTGTAATGTGTGCAGTATGTGTGTAGCATACATTCTTGTAATAGGTGTAGCATGTGTGTAGCATACATTCTTGTAATGTGTGTAGTATGTCTGTACCATACATTCTTGTTATAGGTGTAGTATGTGTGTAGCATACACTCTTGTAATGTGTGTAGTATGTGTGTAGCATACTTTCTTGTAATAGGAGTAGTATGTATGCAGCATACACTCTTGTAATGTGTGTAGTATGTGTGTAGCGTACGTTCTTGTAATGTGTGCAGTATGTGTGTAGCATACATTTCTTGTAATGTGTGTAGTAGGTGTGTAGCATACATTATTTTAATGTGTGTAGTATGTGTGTAGCATACATTCTTGTAATGTGTGTAGTATGTGTGTAGCATACATTCTTGTAATAGGTGTAGTATGTGTGTAGCATACATTCTTGTAATGTGTGTATTATGTGTGTAGCATACATTCTTGTAATAGGTGTAGTATGTGTGTAGCATACATTCTTGTAATAGGTGTAGCATGTGTGTAGCATACATTCTTGTAATAGGTGTAGCATGTGTGTAGCATACATTCTTGTAATAGGTGTAGCATGTGTGTAGCATACATTCTTGTAATAGGTGTGTAGTATGTGTGTAGCATACATTCTTGTAATGTGTGTAGTATGTGTGTAGCATACATTCTTGTAATGTGTGTAGTATGTGTGTAGCATACATTCTTGTAATAGGTGTAGTATGTGTGTAGCATACATTCTTGTAATAGGTGTAGTATGTGTGTAGCATACATTCTTGTAATAGGTGTAGTATGTGTGTAGCATACATTCTTGTAATAGGTGTAGCATGTGTGTAGCATACATTCTTGTAATAGGTGTAGCATACATTCTTGTAATAGGTGTAGCATGTGTGTAGCATACATTCTTGTAATGTGTGTAGTATGTGTGTAGCATACATTCTTGTAATGTGTGTAGTATGTGTGTAGCATACATTCTTGTAATAGGTGTAGTATGTGTGTAGCATACATTCTTATTATGTGTGTAGCATACATTCTTGTAATAGGTGTAGTATGTGTGTAGCATACATTCTTGTAATAGGTGTAGTATGTGTGTAGCATACATTCTTGTAATAGGTGTAGTATGTGTGTAGCATACATTCTTGTAATGGTGTAGTATGTGTGTAGCATACATTCTTGTAATAGTGTGTAGTATGTGTGTAGCATACATTCTTGTAATAGGTGTAGTATGTGTGTAGCATACATTCTTGTAATAGGTGTAGTATGTGTGTAGCATACATTCTTGTAATGTGTGTAGTATGTGTGTAGCATACATTCTTGTAATAGGTGTAGTATGTGTGTAGCATACATTCTTGTAATAGGTGTAGTATGTGTGTAGCATACATTCTTGTAATAGGTGTAGTATGTATGTGTGTAGCATACATTCTTGTAATAGGTGTAGTATGTGTGTAGCATACATTCTTGTAATAGGTGTAGCATGTGTGTAGCATACATTCTTGTAATAGGTGTAGTATGTGTGTAGCATACATTCTTGTAATAGGTGTAGCATGTGTGTAGCATACATTCTTGTAATGTGTGTAGTATGTGTGTAGCATACATTCTTGTAATAGGTGTAGTATGTGTGTAGCATACATTCTTGTTATAGGTGTAGCATGTGTGTAGCATACATTCTTGTAATAGGTGTAGTATGTGTGTAGCATACATTCTTGTAATGTGTGTATTATGTGTGCAGAAGATACATGTAAGTTGCATGTGTATGAATAATTCATATTACCTTATAAATAAGTTTATGCAAATGCGAACTTGTAAATATCCGTGTGTGTATGCATGTATATGGACAATTGTGTATGGTTTGATGAAAGCATTTATGTATACAACGGCGAGCCTATACGTTTGGAAGTGAATGTATAGATTGTGTAGATATATAGTTAGCCAGCTTGTAATTGCTTACCTGAAGATTCTCCGTTGTCCCTAGTTTTTGGGTTGTTCCTCCCATAAAGGCGCATCTTGTCTTTTTGTTTCTTTTATTAAGCCATATCATGGTTATGGCTTACTTTATTTTCCTTTCTATTTTCTTTTCATTGTTTCACTCAAAATCATGTTACACAGTGTCAGTTGACCTATACCTACATCAAATTACAACAAACGTATTTACATGTATTAGTTACTTTAGTTCAGTTTGTGTGTGTCTACCTCCATGTAATCACCCACTGGAACCCACTGTCCTACCTGATACGACTATATGTATGATATTTGATTATGGCTGATATTGAGCAGTACAGACAGGCAGTGGGTTCCTTTGCTGCAAAACTACAGTCAAAATCTGCAGTCCGATTTATGAAATCCATACACAGTTTTAAGTTCTTGTGTCTCTACAGCACCCAAGTATCTGTAATTGCCTCTCTCATCCTTCTCTGCTGTGGCGATATCCATCCGAATCCTGGGCCGAAATATTTCAGAGACCTTAAAATAATACATTTGAACGTACGCAGTTTGAAAGACAAAACTGATTTACTTGACGCAGAATTTCGATCTTATGACGTTATATGTCTTACTGAAACCTGGTTGCATGCAGACATTCGTAGTGTTGATATAACAATACCTGGATATCACCTACCATTCAGGAAAGATAAGCAAACGCGTGGTGGCGGTGTCGCGATCTATGTCAAAAGCAACTTACACGCCAAGCATATGGACAACCTTGACACCCCCGGGCTCGAGGCGGTGTGGATACAGATAAAGTGTAAACACCGTTGTTACCTAATCGGATCCGTCTATCGAGCAGATAAGAGCGCGGGGTACTGGGATCTGATTGAGGAATCTGTCGGTAACGCCGTCGACCTGAACATGTATACTATCGTTGTCGGTGACTTTAATATAGACGTCCTTCGGGAAAATCGAACTAAAATAGATAACCTTCAATCGATGTATGACCTTAAACAGATTATATCCGAACCAACTAGAATTACACCACATTCAAGTACCCTGATAGATCTGATTTTTGTTTCGAATATTAAAGCTGTAAATGACTCGGGAGTCCTTGACCCTATCTGCAGTGACCATTGTCCGATATTTGTGACCATCAAACAACCAATTCCCTCCTTATAAATTATAAGAGGAAAGTTTATTACTATTCGTTAGTTGATACTGTAAGCATGAACAAGAGTGTCGATGATATTGATGGTGATATTTTATTTTCTTCCAATAATATAGATAAGATTGCAACCGATTTAACATCCACAATAATGAAAATCTGCGATCAACATATACCAAATAAGACTGTCACTATTAGACCTGCAGATCCGCTCTGGATGACGAGCCAAATACGTTCTTTGATTCGGAAACGTAATCGCCTACATAAAATTGCAAAGAAATGTAACCATCCAACGAAGTGGGCTAACTTCAGATCAGC